CCCCCCTTTTTCCTACCAAAATTTTCCCGATCCCTCCTCAATTTCACCTGCCATACATTGTGAACGCAGACTTTTTAGAACTAGAAAAGGGATGAGAATGGGAGGCTTAATTTGAAAACTGAGAAAATCATTGGCCACAGATGGACAATGCTTGAACAGTATTCGATCAGAATTTTCGTCGTTCCTTCTTTTACAATTAACGGTTATTCGCTGGAGGCGAAGTGTTTATCGTTGAAAATATTAAGCGAGCCACGAGTCTTATAATTACCTGAGTAATGATACTAAAATTGGTTAAATTATCGCTACCACTATAATCTAAGTTAACACGACGAATTTAACATTCGAATAGTAAAAACTACAGACTAGAAAATTCAAAAACGATGATGCACTGAAACAAAAAACAAAAACAAAAACAAAACAAAAAAAAAACAAAAAAAGAAAAACAAAACAAAACAACAAAAAAGAAAATGGAAAATGCTTGAATGATATATTAGATCAGCTTAGCTATCACACCGCTCGTTTTCCTCTTTTTTCTTTTTACTCTTTCTTTTTTCTTGTTTCCTTTCGTTGTTTTTGACTGATATTTATAGACTTTCCTTTCATCTGAAGTCGTTGATAATGAGATGCAATCTTACATTATCAACAAAAGAGTGGCGTTTATATTAGTTTTCTGCTCGCCATTTGTTCTTGTTTAATAGATTGTTATTTTACTACTTGCATTAATCTGAAGTCATTCATGTGGTAAACTAAAGAGTGAAATTTCATTCATTTTCTTCTCTGTTTTTTCCTCTTTTACCCCCGGCTTACTTAATTATTCTTTTCTTTAATCGTTCTTCCCATTCTGACTGATTTTTTCAGTCTTCCCCTTTTTTTTCCCTGAAATAACCAAGGATTTTGACATGCAAATTTGCAAATTGGATCTGTGAGTTAGCCGTGCCCTGACTTAGATCAGCCCATAGGTTGTTTCAGGGTTCGATCTGTGAGTTAGCCATGCCCTGACTTAGATCAGCCCAGAGGTTGTTTGAGGGTTCGATTGGTGAGTTAGCCATGCCCTGAATTTGATCAGCCCAGAGGTTAGTTGTTTGAGGGTGTCGATAAAATTAAATTTTACTATATTTTATAGAGATATACACACACACATATGAGGCTTTGGACATACCTAAACTATATGCATGTTGCAGAGTAAACAAGAGGGTCAGCAAGGCGTAGATATGATGCATGGCGGAACCAATGGGAAAGAAGCTGAAATGGAAACGTTATTACAATATTAGGTTTTGTACTTCCTAGTGACTTTCGTTTAAATGAAAAAAGGAAAAAAAGAGGGTCCATGCAGTTTTATTTTTGAAGAACAATAAATTCTCATTCGATTAGAGTGCAAAGGGTACCGCCGCCTCCTATGTTACGTTTGACTATCGAGAAATTTATGCGGCGCTCATTTCAAGCTGATTTTTACGTGGGGAAAAAATTCGGATATTCTGGAGAAAATCGGCCTTGTATCAAGGAAGTGAAAACTCAACTCAAAGATTCGTTTATTGTTTACGAGCCAGTTAACTTTTTCCCATTACAGGCCTTGTGTCAATTCCTTGAGACAAAAATTCTTCGTTTGGGTTGTATCGATATTCATGTGACTTTACATGCGCCGCAATCGTTAAACAAAGAAATTATAATCTAGGGAATGACACGTGGCGTGAAATGGGGAAAAAATCAGTGCAATTAAGCTTAAAGCTGTTGCTTTTAGAATATACAGATTCGTATCCTTATTTCCTGCAAGCCGGTCGCCGTCAAAACTGTTGAAAACCATAATTTAAAGAAGTAGACTGAGGCATAAAGTATGAAAAATTCAGTCGGATTTTTCGATAAAATATTGGTAAATAATTTCTATAGTGACGTAATATGGAATCAGAAGTCTACCTTTCATAGGTCGAAGTGGAGTTAGAACATTGAACAATTTCAATTGAAAGTATATGTAGGGTATACCTATTTCAGAATATTAGAATTTTAGCAATTTCCAGAATCGTAGAAGGCAATTACTGAAGCGCTGTTGTGGTGTAACATTTGAAATTGAGAGGGCTTGTGAATATATTAAGTCTTACCTTGCTTTCTTGCTGGCGGTTAAAGAGAGAGTGAGTATAGCAGAGGGATTCCTTAAATTTATAGGGTGACCTGAACTTCGCGACTCTCGGGTGGTGAGCTCTGGGGGGGGTGAGCACAAATGACAAAACGTTACCATGGATTTTATACTTCTTTTTAGGCACGATTTTCTTTTTCTTTCTTTTTTTTTTTTTAATGGTCTGTCGTCTTTTAATTTGAAAACTTCTTTCTTCGCCGTACCAATTTCAATTAGTGGTTTATAAATATTAAAAGATAGGAAAGAAGGAAGCAAGGAAGGAAAGAAAGAAAGAAGGAAAGGAAGAAAGAAGGAAAGAAAGGAAGGAAGAAAGAAAGAAAGAAAGAAAGGAAGAAAGAAAGTGCCTAATAGTGCCTAAATATGCA